ATAACACTGAGGTCAAGGGTTTGGATCCCCACACTGGCCAGCTGCCACTAAATAAATACATAAATAAACATAAACTTACTCCATTTGTTCTCCTCTTGGTATTTAATGGTAATATAAATAGTTTTAAAGTTGCTGTTAATGTGGAGTTGTGTGCAAAAATTTTAATTGTAGTTACTTAAATAACACTGTAAGAATGCAATAATTTTCTCCCTCTCTTCCCTCTTCCCCCATTTGCTTTTTCCTTTCTTTTATTTGCAAACTGTGGATTTAAATAAAGGATACTTCAAGTCTAGTCATCTATTTCTTTTACCAAGATATTTTTTATACTTTTTAAAAAATATTCTATACATTAAAAAGGTTCAACTGATCTTGTTAATTGAATACACAAAGACCTGAAGGCTGAGCCCTATATCACCATGTAAGGTATAATAAAGTGCAAATAGCCATAAGTGACATCTCTATTTGAGCATCATGCAACAACTAAACCAAATAATGTTAAGATGACTGTAGTTATGCCTGACAGTGAGTGGTGGAATAACCATTCACTAACCCAGTTTAATCTCACCAGTGACACACTACCAAGTCAAACAAGCATAAGCAGTTCAGCATGAAAGTCCTAAAAATATACAACAGTACAAAGGAGTTCACGGTAGTCTTATGAAAACAGGAAATCTACCTGTAAGAAACTATAAATCCGGGGCCGGCCCGGTGGCGCACTCCTACAGTGTGCCGCTTGGGAAGCGCAGCGGCGCTCCCGCCGAGGGTTTGGATCCCACATACAGACCGGCCGCTCACTGGCTGAGCAAGGTGCGGGGGCAACACCGAGGGTTGCGATCCCGTTGCCGGTCCCGGTCCGGTATGGGCGCGACACTGAGGGTTGCGATCCGTTGCCGGTCACAAAAAAAGAGACAAAAAGGAAAAAAAAAAAAAAAAAAAAAAAGAAAAAAAGAAACTATAAATCCAACCTCTAACCAGGCAATGTTCAACACTAACAGATGACTTCAAGAAAAGCTTAAGAAAAGCAATTCAAATTAAGAATTCAAAGCAGAGAGAAATTTCATCTATCCTCATCTGAGTACTAGCTCCAAGTACCAATACAAACATCTACACATAAAATGGCAAACATACCACCACATTATCCAGAACAACTTCCATCAGAGAAGGAACCCTATGGCATGCCCAAAGACTCCAGCTTATCAGTAAACCTTTGATAATCATAGATAAGGCCACACAAATGTAACCAGAACTGAAAAAATTCCTCTGTTCAAGTAGCAAAACCACATGGATAAAATATAATCATGACCTTGATGGCCTACCAGAAGAGATTTCCAAGTAGGGAGGAGAAAAAATACCAAGGCATTCTGTACACAAGCTTTTCCTTAACACATGAGGGAAAGCTTAGACAAAGACAAAAGATCTCGGGGGTGTCACTACTACCTTCAAAAGGAAAAATGAGAAATGTGAGTTAAATAAATGGTGTCTTCTTGCCCTTGTTACTGGCAAGATGCTGAACAAATTAGTCCCTGGTAGACCACTGTGCAAAACATCCCCCCTTCACTGCTGAATAGCCTTGGAACACTACCTGGAACAGCAGACACAATCCAGGCAATAAAACACAAAAGAGTTAGGAAATAACCAAGATTTCTACACTTTTATTAGTCCTTTAAAAATGTACTTAATTCCACATGACAACAGGCCTGGACTGTTCAAAAATATCAATGCCATGGAAGACAAAAGAAAGCAAGGAAACTGCTCTACATTAAAGGAGATTAAAAAGACATGACAATCAAATGTAACACATGATTATTGATTGGATAAAGGATTTTTAAAAATTAGCCAGAAAGTGCTAGCTGGTTAGCTCACTTGGTTAGAGTGTGGTGCTGATAACACCAGGGTAAAAGGTTTGGATTCCTGTACCAGCCAGCTGCAAAAAAATAAATAACCCATAAAGAATGTTTTTGGAATCACAGAAAATTTTGAATATGGACTATATGCTATATATTTTATATTGATATTAAGTTTCTTGAGTGTGATATTGTGGTTATGTAGAAAATGTCCTTGTTCTTAAGATACACATTTAAAAATATTTAGAGATGAAGTCTGTACTTGTTAACACTTTCAAATGGTTCTGAAAAAAAATGCAGACAAAAATAAAAAGAGATAAAGTAAATGTGAGAAACTGGTAACAACTGGTAACTCTAATTGTTAGATTAGTAAACCTAAATCACCTAGGTGAATGATAGATGGGTGGGGTGTTCACTATATAGTACACCTCCAATTTTTCCGTAGGTTTGAAATTTTTCAAAATAAAAAAATGGAGGATGAAAAAGTACTTAACAGCACCTTGGACTCATGTGTTTACTGGGCGGGCCTGAGTTCACAGGTGACAAAGATGGTGACTGGCTGGTTCAAATTTTTAGTATCCTTTCTCATTCATTCCCGAATAAAAATAAAGCAAATGCCTGTATAACTTCTGGGAAGCAGTGTAGTGTTAATGAGGCATTTAACAAGAGACTAATAAATTACCACACATTCATAACCTGGAATCCGGAATCCTTGCAACAGTCTTTAGAAGAATAACGTATGTCTATATATACCATCATGGCAAGTGGTTCAAAATATATTAACTGAATAAAAGCAAGCAGTAAAGGTATAAGGAAAGTACGGTCCAATTATTTCAAATGTTGATATAAATTATCATTTAGGTTACAGGCAGCAGAATTTTTGGATTACTTTCACTTTCTCTGTTGTACTTTACTTTCTCTGTTGATTTGCATATATTGCTTTTATAATAGGTCAAAAACATTAAGAATCACACACAGATAATTAACCAAACTAAAATTCTACCAAAACCACAGCAGAAAGCATCCTCATTTTGGCTCTGAAATATGAGCTAGATGCCAGCGGCAGATCTAGGGATAGTTTTATCAAAATTATGAGCAATATTTACCATCAAATGTCAAAACAAAAGGACAATAACGAAGTCCCAGAATGTAGCCATTATTCACTAATTTATCCATTAAATAAACATTTATTGAAAGCAACTTTGACTAGTACTGGGGATACTGAAATGAGTAAGACACGAACTCTGCCTTCAATAAGTTTACAGTCTAACTGGATTAAACAGGCAAGCAAACCATTAATCCAAAAACAGCACAATGAGTATCAGAGAGGTGATGCCTGCAGATGTAAAAGGCTGATAAGCAACATAAAGCCAAAAGCAGACGACATGACATGCTGAGCACATCTTCAATCACTGCATCTCAGACACAGGCTACAGACTAACAGAACACCTCCAAGTTTACAGCAGGTTCATACAATGGTGTTTACTCAAAGATACATTAAAATTAACATGAAGAAATATAATTCAGTTTAAACATTTATTAGGCATGGATGTGCCAACAATTCTGCCCAGAGCCAACTTACAAAGACAAAATTCAGTTCCTACCCTCAAGATACTCAGAAAAAAGTGGTTCTCCTCCCTCTTAAAAATAGAAACAGGTTGGACCGACCCTGTGGCTCACTTGGGAGAGTGCGGCGCTGGGAGCACAGCAGCACTCCCGCCACGGGTTTGGATCCTATATAGGAATGGCTGGTATGCTCACTGGCTGAGCACGGGAGGGTTGCAATCCCCTTACCAGTCACAAAAAAGGACAAAAAAAAAAAAAAATTGAAACAGGCCATTAACAGGTATATTTGTAATATATATGCTGTATGTAATGATATACAATTACATTAAATATAACATAATGTATATAATAAAAGAAAAATGTCAATAACAGGCCATTAAGGATGAAGAACCTAGGAATATCATAAAGATTACCATTTATTTAGGACTGACTCAACGCCAGGGATGCATACACACTACCATAAAGAGGGGTTAAATCCACCCCAGGTTACAAAGCTAGATTTTGAACTCAGGGACTCTGTCTCTCCCAAAGCTCAATTACAAGAAAAACATGCAAAAAAGAAGAAAAAAAAGTCCGAACTATTAGAAATAAAAACAATATAGAAAACAGCACAGACATCTGAACATAAGATATATTTGATGAATACATAATGACAAGTTTTATGACTTAAGTTATACAGTTACTTGTTCAGGTATTTAATTAATTTTGAATTAATACAACATACAACAACAACAACAAAACAAAAAAAAACTAGGGCCGGCCTGTGGCTCACTTGGGAGAGTGTGGTGCTGATAACACCAAGGCCATGGGTTCAGATCCCTATGTGGGGATGGCCGGTTGGCTCACTTGGGAGAGCATGGTGCTGACACCACCAAGTCAAGAGTTAAGATCCCCTTAGCTGTTGCCTTTTAAGAAAAAAAAAAAAAAAAACTAAACTCAAAGGAAGAAAAAGCCTGCATAATGACTACTGCAATTTATAAAAACATTTGGAAGACAATAAGGGTCAGCATCAAATTTTCAGTTTCCCCACTGTCAAGTCATCTTATGTCTAAATTTGGGGTTGGCTAACTGCAGCCCCAAACTGAATCTGGCCGGCTGCCTATCTTTGTAATTAAAACACACATTTGTAAATAAAATAAATATTTGTTTATTGAACACAGCCATCCCCACTCGTTCTAGTTTAGTCTACGGCTGCTTTCCTGCTACAATGGCAGAGCTGACTAGTTGTGACAGAGACAGTATGGTGCACGAAACCTAAAATATTTATTTTCTGGTCCTGTACAGAAAAAGTTTGCAGACCCCTGGTCTAAATTATAGTCATATAATGGCAGAAAAATAATTAGCCTGTTCATTTCAGCCCTATTTAAGCTTTATTATAAACTCTACCCAATTTAAGTTCTCTTCCTTTGTAATTAGTGTCACTTAGTAAGTGCTAATGAGTATGAGTTTCCACAAATATGTTCACATTTCAGTTATTTTCCATAGAGTTGGTCTTACTTTACCTGCCCAGCAAATTACCCTTCACACTATTACTCCAAACAAAATCCTAATTAAGACACATTTGCAATTATCTCCATACATACTTATCCTTCAATTGAATACAATCTACAAAGATGGAGACAAGCAAAGCTAACACAGAGATTATAGTTGCTATAACTAAATAATTCCTAATACCCTATTCACACTAAAACATCTCAGTCTAAGTGCCATTTAAGACCATCAGTGTCACCAAACTGCTCATTAGAAATGCAAACTCACGGGCCACATTCCAGACCTACCAGGTGATTTTTATGCACACCAAAAGTTTGAAAACTGCACTAAAATGGATTTTATATTACTTACCTTGAGGGTGAAAAGGCTGATTCGGCCAGGCAGTTTATAAAATAGCCCCTCTCCTCCTCTCGAATTGGAATGTAGCATGGCATTGAGGCACGCAAGAGGGGATGTCCCACTATAAAACAAAAAAGGATGGATGAGGGTCATACAAATTCATATGCCTATGTAATTACTCAAAGACTTAATCGCTCCCACTCATTCTTAAATTGAGAAGTGGAGCAAAAAATACACAAAGATCCCATGACAATTCCACTGTGAAAACAGTAAAAAAAAAAAAAATAGTAACCAAATGAAATTCTCATAAATCACACTCAGAGAGCTCTGGGATAAGAGATGTTATGTGATACCTAAAATCCATACCTAACATTTCTTTAGTGCTTTTTGACAATATGAACCAAATTCCCAAGAAATTAAAAAAAAAAAAACCCACAATTTATTCAAGTTATATTTTAATAAGTTTTTAAATTTTAATAAAATTTTACTATTAAAAACCAAACTGAGAGGGCCGAGCCCGTGGCGCACTCGGGAGAGTGCAGCGCTGGGAGCACAGCAGCGCTCCCGCCACGGGTTCGGATCCTATATAGGGATGACCAGTGTGCTCACAGTGCTCACTGGCTGAGCGCAGTGCGGCCGGTCTCAAAAAGGACAAAAAAAAACCCAAACTGAGAGCTTCCCAGCATCAACATTTCAACCTACATATCATGCTCAGAAACTGCCATGTAACATTATCATCACAAACATCACAGAATCAATGGAGCTGTCCCACTAAAATAAGCACACTTTTTTTTCGGTTAAATATTTTCTAATAAGCACACAAAAAGAACAGTATTTCATTTGCTTTTTCTCTGTTGGGAAGGGGAGAGGAAAAGTTTTATTCTATATCTACCCAGGAACAGTCATTTAAATTTGAATGCAAAAAGTCAAGTGGATTTAATACCCAGTAACGCTTAAACATTAAAAAGTTGGCATATTGGTTGTTCCACGGTCTCTGCCGCAATAGTAGGTCAAAAAACAGTGACAACTCAGTAGGATAGCAGCCACTTATTGAGTCATAAAATATAAAAGCTGTCAAAAATATAGACAAATGCCCATTATTTGTATTAACTGAGTTTGGCACTAGCATGTTAGTGGTAGAATTCACCTGTACACCTTCTCTTCTCCCTCCCCAGCATGTTAAAAAATATATACAAATACCTTAAGTAAAGCCACTTGGCACTTTGCAGAACTTAGAGGCTCTAACTTATGCAGTGTGTTAAAAATAAATTCTGAGTCTAAAAAAGTCATTAAAAAAAAAAAAAGATTACTTATTCTGCCTTGGAATACACTGAATGCTAAAAAAATTTTCACCAAGATCCAATCTCTAAAAGAAATCTTGTGCAGAATCTGGAGTATCAAGTGGGTGTGCTAGCATCTCTTCTACAAAGGAGACCAGCATGCCGGCAGAGTCCTTCTGTGACTCCTACACACTATACCACTGTCTACAAATTACAGAGATGCTCACTCATCACGAGACACCATGATTGCTTCATAATTCCTATAAGAGCAAGAAGCAGAAACAAGTTAAGGTTCTCAGTTCCATCTGTCCCAAAGGGACTAATTTACCTTCTATAGGCATAGTGGTCCAACATCAGTGCAGACAGCAGCATGATATGAAATAGCCCATAAAAACAAAAATAAAGCACAATTATAACACTGCACAGTGAACAGGTACCAGTTAAGTGAATGTGATCTAGACAATCCTAATCTTCCCTCCCCACAAAACATCAACTTCAGAATGTTTGAACTGACAATTGGAAAGTGAGGACCTATGGACCCTAAAAGGTCAATTCGAGCAGCTAAAGCTTGACCAGCAAAAATATATGCTGCTTCTTCTGAGTCCAAGGAAGGGACCATGTTGTGCTCTCCCCATTCCTCATTTAAAAAAAAAAAAAAAAAAAAAAAAAAAAAACCTGGGGTGAGGAGAGAGAAGGATTAAGGACAGTTACTAGTTTTCACACCTGTAAGTCTTTCCATGTTTCTAACTTGTTGCTTCTCTAGGAAAACTAACATCATAAGACAATAAAGGTTACCCCAAAATTTAGCACATTCATATCATGAATGGCTAGAATCAAGGGTGAGGGGAGAAGCCAGTGGATTTTATGTCGGTGAGACCATTCCCTTCTTTATCCTAAAAGAAAGGACGTCAAAGGTACAACATAGAGAGAAGAGTAGTTTTAGGCACATTAGAGCCTATCAGGCTCTGTCCCTTCTTTATTACTGAAACTTGCAAAACAAAGTACAAAAGAAAATGTGCCCTGACTTCTTACGCGAAAAACAAGCTCTATGTCAAGATTTAAGGGAGAGCATGAATGCAGAAAGCTGCTGCTCCTCATTCGTGATGACCATTCATCGCACCTGCTCTCCACTCAGAGGACACACAACCCAGCAGATGAAAAGTTCAACACCACCACCACACACACAACACTGATATATACACAGGTGGACTTACTCATATCACTGCACAACTATGGAAAGACACATGTCCTATGAAACCCTCATATTAAGCAACAAGAGCAATACAAACCTCATTTCCTTTAGTCCTTCTGCCTCTATGACCTGCAGAATCTGTTTTGGTGTCATTGGAGCATCCGAGTAGTTTTCTAATACCTGAAGAAATATAAATGTCCTGATTTCAGTGTGCAGTTTCTATTTATATCCATCAATCTGTATCATGGGCTACAGTTCTGCCATGAGGTACTGCTAGTGACAATTTAGTTTTTCTACAGCTAAAATTACTTCAGAAACCAAATTACACATATATCCAGTTACTTAAAGTTACTGCAATTAGCTGAATGAAATGTTCTAATTCTCAATACTAAGGACAAGCATCTTCTTAGCATACATGTTATGGTACGCAAGACCTTCACAACCCTGGTTGCTGCTTAACTTAATGCTGTTAATATGGCTAAAATACAGAATACATAGTGCTGCACAATAATTTATAAGACAGAAATGCATTCAGGTTTTCTTTCCCGAGGAAGTTTGATTAGTACCCTTATTTTTAAATGGTGCTTTTTGCCACTGTGGTGTGAAATTCTGGTGTTAACTGTCACAGTACATCTTGCCATTTGGCAACATGATGCTATGATTCTGTGTGACTGGTGCAAGCAAAACAATGAGAAATGGAATTTCCTCTTGATGTTAGCATTATCTATAAGTCATGGCAGTATTTTTTTAGTGAGCAACTACAGCTCTCTCGCTTTAAGAAGTTGGGTTGTTTTAGAAATGTTATTCTTCTAAGGGAGGAAAAAAGGCAGGCTGTCAATATCTTTGTACTTTCTCTACCTGTGCAGCTGCTGAGGTTATTCCAACCAAGCTAACATCTCTCAGTCACTTAACAACCATAGCAACTAAGTACTGCTGTCACAAACAAAATGTAAAGTAAGAAGTCTGACAGGAGTGCTGTGGAAGGTGCTCTCTGTGGAAGAACATAAGTTTTTAGCGCTAAAGGAAGTCAAGGTTTGCAGAAGTTGGGGCTAAAATAAAACCCCCATTTCCCACAGTCCCATTCTTAGCCTCTTTTTTTAAAGTCTTTCTTTTTTCTTTAGGTTTTTTGTTTGTTTGTTTGTTTGTTTTCTTTCAACTACTACCTAATTCTGATAACTCCCGAATCTCTACCTCTAGCCCTGACTTCTCCCCAAGCTTCAGATTCAAATATTCAGTTCTGTACTGGATGTGCCCCCTTGATCATCTACTTCAATTCATCTCTACTCTAATTTACCTCCCCTCCAGACCCACTCTTCTTCCTATAATCCCTCCCTTTGTTGGCAGCCTGTCTAATTTACCTTATTCAGAAATGCAGGCATCATCCTTCACTCTAACCAGTCCCCCAGGCCTCAAAGCCAGTCTCTTACCTGACCCTTCACTGATATCCCTGCATCCAGTCCTGCTTTCCTCAAATCCATTTTTACTCTGCTGTCATCCTTCTTTCAACAAATGAGCAGAACACCTACTTTGTGCCAGGCACAACTGCAGGAATTCATAGTAAAAACACCAAATCCCCACTCTAACAGAATTTACGGGCTATAGCCTGAGGTCAACCCAACAAAGCAAACTTTCCCTCATCACTTTCCTGCTTTAAACTCCTTCAATAGCTCACTAATCACACACAGCAAAATCTGAAGCTTCCAGAGTCCACCGGACCACTGGTAAAGCACAGACTTTAGAACCAGACAGGTTCAGTTTCTCAGTCACTAGTATTTGGTGCATATGCTCATAATATAATTTTTAATAATTTTACTGTTTTGGGCCGGCCCGGTGGCGCACTGGAGAGTGCGCCACTTGGGAGCGCAGCGGCGCTCCCGCCGAGGGTTCGGATCCCATGTGGAGACCGGTTCCCGCTCACTGGCTGAGTGCGGTGCGGGCGCAACACCGAGGGTTGCGATCCCGTACCGGTCAGTAAAAAAAGACAAAAAGGAATAAAAAAAATAATAATGATTTTACTGTTTTCTAAATGCAAGTGATTACCATTAAATTACCTTTTAAAATTTAGGGGAAAAAAAAAAAAGAAAAAGAAAGGAACCAGACAAGCCTGGATTGAAATACTGGATTAAATACCTCCAAGTCTGGTCTCTGCCTGTCTCTAACCTGATTGCCACACTGACACTCCACAACTTCATGTTCCAATAACTACTCATAATTCTACCAATTCCCATTTGGCAGATTTTCTCTCTCTCTCTCGCTGTCTATTTATTGTCACCAGCTCCTGCTTATGCCTTCTGTGATGGGCCTAACTCCTACTTACCCACCAAGATTCAGCTCAGAAAGCACCTTCCTCCAGGAAGCCTTCCCTGACCTCTGCCAAGCAGAGTTAAATGTCTCTCTTCAGTGTCCCCATTGTTCCACAACACATATAATTATCTTCCAAACCAGAACTTGAGAGTGAAAGGAAAGAATTATTCATAATTATGCCTGAAGAACAGGCAGGAACCAGTGCTTACACACCTATGATAACACTTATCATGCCTGTAATAAAATTCTGTTCATGCATCTGGACCCTCCCCATCCCCAGGAGACCATAAACTCCTCAGCTGCAAACCTTATCCATCTTTGTAGTCCAGAATGTAACTAAGTGTTAAGGTAGGCAATGTTGACTTGAACAAACCTACAATAAACCCTGATACAAGCTACTAATGTTCAGTGCCACAAGATATCATTTCTTTGATACTAATTAAGTGTGAGCTGAGCGAGCAAATTTTTGTAGAATTTTCTTTTTCTAAGAAGCATGACTCTGGGCCGACCCCGTGGCTCACTCGGGAGAGTGCGGTGCTGGGAGCGCAGTGGTGCTCCCGCCATGGGTTCGGATCCTATATAGGGATGGCCGGTGCACTCACTGGCTGAGCACGGCCACAAAAAAGGACAAAAAAAAAAAAAAAAAAGAAGCATGACTGAAAAATTAGCTATCAATTATTTACGCAGCAGTCAGGAAGAGGCTGAGAAACTAAGGCAGAGGAAACAAAATCTCTAAAAGAAAGTTACATCAAAAGATACAAAGTATTCACTTTTATTAAAACTGTATATGCCTCCAGCTTTTAGTATAAGAACAATTCAGCAGTGTTCTATTCCTAGGCTCTTTCTAGACTGTACATTTTTGAAAAAGAAAGAAAAACTATCTCTTCTCCTACTTCAAAGAGAGAAAATGTTTGATGTAAGAATGGTCAGTCATGAATCAAAGTGAAAGCTAAAGCATGCAATGTAGAGTTTCTCCAGTTAAGGGTACTCAATTTAAAGGGAAATCCCCCTGGCTATATCTCTCCCAAACAAATTGTTCATAAAGAGCAGGAGGATTTATACCCATCCAGCCACTTAAAGTCTACTTCTTACATCTAGAAAAGACAATGCTACAAAATCTTTGGAAGAAGAGTATCTACTTCTCAGCAACATAATTAATATCAGCAAAAATCAATTTCCTGAGATATATTACTCTACTGAAATACTCCAGAATTCTCTTTCCTCTACCAAAACAGTTTTTAAAATGATTCCTGGTATCACTCCCCATAGTGAGTGAAGTCAGAAGCAATGTGAAACTGTCCCCAAGGAATATGATTGCCACTGCAAGCATTCCAAATTCACCTGTCCAAGGAGTAGTCAGACTAGCGATGGTTATTCGGTGATCTAGTCAACTACCCTACCATTACAGCTCACTCCTAGTCAAGTTTCTGTCCAGTGTAGCTCTCATAAACTCTCCTGCACTCAGTGTTACAGAAATTTTTTTAAACAGGAAGAGGACTCTAAAAAAGCACCCTACCAACCAGTCCCATTCAAAGGGGCAGAAAAGTCTAAAACAAAAAACACGTAAAAGATATGCAAAATTACACACCACATTCCCCCAAGTCCTCTTCCATATGCATAACTGTTCCACAAACTAATTCCTATTCATATTACTATTTTTAATGAAAAGCCACAGAAGAAAAAGAGAAATAACTTACTTGGATAATCTGGCTTGAAGTTGAGCCAATGACAAAACAGAAATAGCAACTTCCATACTGGAGACAGTGGACCCAATTCCTAAAGCCTTTCAACCATTAAGAGCCAGAAGAGCTTTAAGACAAATTGACTTTAGAATTCTGTCTGTACATAAATAACACAGGATTTAAAGGTACTTCCACCTACCTCTAGCCAGTAAAACTCTGGCAAGCAAATTTCCTTTGGGTGTCCAGAGTCATAAACACCTGCATAACAGGAACTCAGGAGAATCTCAATGAAAACCCAAGACTCAACCTCCAGGAGACAGAGAGCACATCCTTCTGGCTGTCTCCTACTCCTCTTCAGGCCTAAATGTTTCCAGGTGAAGCAACATAGGACAAATCCTGAAATTTGTAAGAGATCCTAAAACTAGCCAAAGCTTCCAATTTTGACTGAATCAGAAAAAAAGTTATTTAGGAGCTTCAAAAATCTTCAAATTTTCATCCACTGCTTCACTTGACTTGTAAAAAAAATTTTTTTTAATTAAAATCTTCAAATTCCACATGCCAAACCAAAGTAAATAAACTGAAGCACAAAACTTCAGCATGCTAAGAACTGCTATTTCTGTTCCCTGGGCAGCAAATGCCCAGGGAAGATGATCAGGAACACCACTGATAATTCTCCTGTGGCCCAAACACCTTCAGTTCTTGTAATCAATAACTGAGTTTTACAAACTGCAGGAAAGAAAAAGGTATATTCTAGATTTGTATCAACCTCCAACACATACTCATCCTTTTTTGCACAACACCTTTGAGAAAGAAAACTCACTTCCCAATAAGATGAAAAATTAAAAAGTTGAGGTCCATTCATCATAAAAAGTGAATAACAATTACCTATAATCTACAGCGTGTCAAGAGGCTATGTGCACACTATGTCGCTGTGACAGTTCTGAGGAAGTGACCTCTCTGGGAGAAGTATAACTTGTTACTATTACCATCAGCAAGATTTTATAAGGACACGTCTTAGCTTTATGGGTACAAATCCAAATGGAAGCTATTTCACTTACAAGTCTTCTGACGCTTTTAAAACAGAAAATTCACAGCCCCCCTCACCAGGCGGCTTCAAACACTCAAATTACTCCCCGTTTTTTCTAAATCCTCAGGGAACAGTATCTTCAAACAGAGACACTCTTTGTCCAACATACATTCTTTGCAAAGTGTATCCAGTTCTCTGCCAAGTGTCTATCTTCAGTCTAACTTATAAAGCAAAACACCCTATTCAGCGTTTCTCAAAGTGTAGTTGGAGAGCCATCTGCATTAGAGTCACCTGGGAAGCTGGTTAAAATGCAGATTCTCAGGCTTTATCCCAGAATCTCAGACTCAATAGGTATTAAGTAGGGCCCTAGGACAAGCATTTCTAACAATCTCCCCAGGTGTCCCCCCACAGGACACTAAAGTTTGAGAACCACTTGCTCAGGGTTCAAGCTGAGAGTAAGCACTTGATTCCCTCCCCACACCTGGTTTAGATTGGAAAAGCTCAAAGTGCCACTTGCGTCCTTGAAATTGGGGGCGCTTTCCCACCCCCGGAGTCAAACACACCACCCCATTACCCACCAGGAAGGGAGGGAGGAGCTTCAGACCCTTCCCGGAAACCTAACTCCCCCGGGTGAATAAACGAAGCTTCCCCAGACCCCCAGAAGCTGCCAAATAGTGGGGGAGGGGAAGCTGGGGCCCCGCCGCCCGGAGGGGGAGGAGCCGGCCTGCCAGCTCGCCCCTCCGCAGGAATTTAGGGGGGCCGTGCAGAAAAAGGCGCCACATCCCATCCCGGCGGGGGATCTCTCCCCACCCAACGCCTTGGGGGGTTGTCCCATTCCTGGAGAAGGTGGCCCCGCCCCCTCCTGCGGTGGGCAGTGCTTCATTCCTCCCCCTCCCGGTAGGGGTGCGCGGCGAGCCCACCCCCCACGCCCCCCACTGAGCCCCCTTTGGCGGCCTGCCTCACCAGGCGCGCGGCCTCGGCCCACGTGCGCTCCTTCTTCCTCTTCTGTTTGTCCTTCATCCTCCTCCTCCCCGGCGGCGGCGGCTCCACGCGGGACCTCCGGGTGGGGCGGGCTGGGGCGACGGCGCGGGACT